TTGCAAGGGAGACTTAACAGTAGATGGTCACCTTCATCAAACATAGGTGATCATGATAAATTCTCTTTGTGATTTCTTTTGATGGGAGACCAACACAGCATGCTTTCTGCTTTCCTAAAAGCCATGTTGATGTATGTGAATGACAGATACAGGCTACTGCACGACCAAGTCTTCTTGCTGATACTCTTTCTGTCTTTTGGTTCATAAAATCACAGCCACTTGATGGGCCCATTGGTGTGACAGTGTGCAGGCAAAGAAGTGCCTTAAACTGGAATGTTCCAGTGTCCCAGGTGGAAGCCATTAGTTCCAGTTGAGCACGCTTTCCGAAACATCATGGAGGTGAAATTGAAGAAGAGGTATGAGGCCTGGCAAGGTCAAGGAGCCTGCAGTCCTTTGCATCTTTTGATTTCTGTCATGCCTGAAGTTTACAATGTGATGTAATAAAAGGACAGAATTGTATGTTGAACTTCTACGCCATTGGCTGTGATGTTGTACAGTAACTGCTTCTAACCCTACATCGTTCATAGCTTTGAACTGTTGACTGTATGCCATCCATGAATTGGCAAAACAAGACAAATACAAGAGCAGGCAATGCCTTTATTTTAACAAATCAATCAAACAGGAGGTGAGGAGGACAGGTGGGTGCCCTGTGCAGTTCCTCGCCAGGGCGTGCTCTCCCCGCGACGGAACACCCACCTACACACAGCATCGTTGGAAATAAAATGCCTGGGGGTAAAATGCCTGCCGCGACTGTCCTCATTACCCCCAGGATTTTCATTTTTACCCCATTTGGGGTAATTTACCCCCAAATCAATCAAACAGGAGGTGAGGAGGACAGGTGGGTGCCCTGTGCAGTTCCTCGCCAGGGCGTGCTCTCCCCGCGACGGAACACCCACCTACACACAGCATCGTTGGAAATAAAATGCCTGGGGGTAAAATGCCTGCCGCGACTGTCCTCATTACCCCCAGGATTTTCATTTTTACCCCATTTGGGGTAATTTACCCCTGTTCCCTGACCACTGGTTTAAGGTGACACAAATGTCTGTATTGTTTTTGTTACAACAGACTCATACAGATAACTACCCAGAAATGAGTTAAGGGCTTACTGTAATAATCACTGCCCAGATATTGCTCATAAAGAGGTGGCTGCCAAAAATATGACAGATGTAGAATTTAAAGCAAGTAGCTCAGATAATGCTGAACTGTATTGATCCTGAGCAAAATAAAAAATGAAGGCATATACTCCATGTATGACAAGCCATGGCCACTAAGCTGTGCTATTTGGCTTCAGCAATGCAAGAGAATTTATGGATTTCAAAGACGCAAAAGACTAAACTCTGTCCAGAGTTAATCTTGATGTCTATTTCTGTAGTGATGCCCTCTCACTGCTTTAATAAATCCTCTAGAGGTGTTATGATAACTCTAGAGGAAAGTATGATTTGGGCCTCATTTCCAGTTCTACCTCTAACAATAATAATTGTGTGTTGTGAAGTCAATTCTGACCCTTCTCAGAGTGTTCTAGGTAGAGAATACTCAGAAGTGGTTTATTATTCCCTACTTCTGGGGGCATCCTGGGACTGTGTAGCTTGCCCAATGTCAAATAGGCTGGCTCTTATAGGATGAACAGTAGAGAAATGAATTTCTAACCTCTGCCTCTGGATACCGAACTCACTGAGATTTCCAGCCAGCCCCTAGTTTGGAATGACATGATTTAAAGGAAGCTACAACTTCCTCTCTATTTTCTTTCCACTGCCAGAGAAGGACCTCTTCATACAGAAACTAGATGTCTGGGGATGTAGGCCGGTCTGCAACTGAAGATTCAACTGTCTAGGTATTGTCTGTATCGTTTATTATTGCATTTTAATGACTTGGTTTTATTATATTTTAATCGCAATTTTGTTTTTCATTCTCCATTACAGTAATTTATTATTGCATTTTATTGACTTGGTTTTCATATTATATTTTAATCACAATTTTGTTTTTCATTCTCCATTACAGTATTAAGAGCTTCCTTTGGCATCTTCCAGTGGAAATGCACAGTGTATGTGACCAAGACAGACAAATGGACAGATCTTGTTCCTGTACTGATGGCACTGCTCAAAGAGGAGTTTTAACAGATGGATCAAGCAGTGGGTGAAACGTGTTTTTTGTATTATTTGGGGGGGAAAGTGATAAAAAACAATAGGCTTTGGGAAGGGGTTGATAAGCTTTCTGGGCTCAATGGCTGCAATTCCCCTGTGGCCAAATTGGGCAGGTGGGAGGGTGCCTTCCTTTGTTAGATGAGGCCACAAAAATGCTGAAGGACATTCATGGAGGTGGCATGGCACAATGCAGTTTGCACTGAAGATGAATGGAGAGAAGCAGAGGCAGGTGGAGGAGAATCGCCTTGGGTTTCTTAGATTGTCCTTTACTTGTCCTAATCTGTAAATTTCTTCCTTCATCTAGACCAGTGGTTCCCAACATTGGGTAACCCAGGTGCTCTTGGACTGCAATTCCCAGAAGCCTTCACCACCAGCTGATCAGAGTATTTGGGAACTGAAGTCCAAGAACATTTTGTTTACCCAAGACTGGGAACCACTGATCTAGAACGATACTCTTAGGATTGCTGATGTCATTTCCTTCCTTTCTCTCATTGTCTCTCAACCTTCTCCTACAGAGGAGACATACTGCTTTTGTTCCTGAGAGGGATTGGAAACCTGCTCCCTGGCTCTCCATCTCCATTAGCTGAAATTAGGATTCCTAACATAGTTCCTATTTTGATATGTTTCTGTAATAAAACTACCTTTCTTATTTTCTCAAGATAAGTCTCAGGCAGATAACCTGCCTTAAGCTTTTTTATTGCAAACAGGCATAAAACTGCTTGAAACACATGCCTTGATTTAATGCGCTTCCTCACAATAAAGACAGACAGACATACAGACAGAAACCTTTATTGGCATACGGTACAGAATTAAAATGCAAATAAAACATTCAGCAGCTAACGTGGCAGGGAACAGCAAAATGCATATTTAGGGCTCGGCATTCTGCAACAGCACGCTGTGCGGTTGCTGCATGATGGAGTAGATGTATCAGGCTATTATCAGAGTAAGTTTCTTAATAGTGCCACCTAGGAGGTATTGAATTTTTCTCAGGTCATCCCATCCAGAATGGGAGGAAAGGAAAATGCTCAGATAAGACAGGCCGATATCCTTATAAAATATACAGTACAACAACATATGCTGCAAGGACTCAACCACTCCCTGACCACAAGGGCAGACTCTAAGTTCTGTGGGTAAACCCATATATCTGCCCTGTGCTAAGTTCAAAGGTACAATATTGCACATAGCAAGGGTAAATGCCCATCAATCTTGTGGATGCGCTAAGTCAGCAGTTCCCAACCTTTTCAGTCCGTGGACTGGTGGGGGAAGGTGGGGCACCCCTGCGCTTGTGCTTCAGTCCGCGGACTGGTGGGGGAAGGTGGGACATCCCTGCGCTTGTGCACATGTGCGAATAAGTGCTTGCTCTCTCTTGCATGGGCATGCATGCGCTTGTGCACATGTGCAAATGGCAGCGCGGCACTTGTCTGGGCATGCTAGCACTTATGTGCATGCTCAAATGGTGGTTTGGCACTCACACAAGCATGCTGGAGCACGCACGTAGCGGACTGGTGGGGGAAGGTGGGACATCCCTGCGCTTGTGCACATGTGCGAATAAGTGCTTGCTCTCTCTTGCATGGGCATGCATGCGCTTGTGCACATGTGCAAATGGCAGCGCGGCACTTGTCTGGGCATGCTAGCACTTATGTGCATGCTCAAATGGTGGTTTGGCACTCACACAAGCATGCTGGAGCACGCACGTAGGCACAAACGGACTGTGCAGGGGTGAGTGTGTGCAAGGGGTGGGTTGGGAAGTCTGTCTCGGCTCTCTCTTGCATGGGCATGCATGCGCTTGTGCACATGTGCAAATGGCAGCGCGGCACTTGTCTGGGCATGCTAGCACTTATGTGCATGCTCAAATGGTGGTTTGGCACTCACACAAGCATGCTGGAGCACGCACGTAGGCACAAACGGACTGTGCAGGGGTGAGTGTGTGCAAGGGGTGGGTTGGGAAGTCTGTCTCGGTGGCCTGGTCTGGGCATGCCAGCACTCATGTGCATGCTCAAACGGTGGTGCAACACTCACACAAGCATGCTGGAGCACACACGTATGCACAAACGGGCTGTGCAGGGGTGAGTGCGCAAGGGGTGGGTTGGGAAGTCTGTCTCGGTGGCCTGGTCAGGCTCAGGCCATGGACTGGCACCAGGCCGTGGACCGGGGGTTGGGGACCTCTGGTCTAAGTGATAGAGGTAATTTGGTCTTCTGCCGTGGGAGAAAATATAGCGGGGAGCAGATCCTTTGTGCAGCGCTACGCAGGGCTTGCCCCTCAATATCCAGAACTCTATTTTTGATTGTATGGAATACTTTGGAAGGGGGTATTGAACCCAGCAGATCTGGTGACAATTTTCTTGATTTTCTTGAGAAATAGGGCCAAACCTTTTGGAAATATGCTGTTGGAAAGCCGGGCTTGGAATAGGATGTCCTGGGTTGAGAAGAAATAGATTCTGATCCAGTATTTAAAGGCTCTGAGCCAATCCAAGGTCTCAATCCTGTGTTGACCGCCTTCAAGGCATATGGTTGCATAGGAGGCACAATGGGGCGGGCTAAAGATTTTATACAGGAACATTGATTGGACCTTTTCCACGGAGCTGTGAAATGCAGACATCCAGATGGGGACTCCTCACAATAAAGGAGGACATGAAGTTCCAGCTTCTGGCTGACCGGTACTGGAAGGCTTCCTGGCTACTGACAGCACTGGGGTTGAGACAGCAGCTGAACCCTTGACTACTCAGAGTGAAAATGGAGCCATTCAAACTGCTCCCCATTGGACAGGAACAACGTTGCCAGCCGGCCCCCAAGATAGCCAGAAAGCCTCCTAGCGCTGGCCAGCTGACAATGTTGTTCTTGGCTGGGTGTGTTTGTGTGTTGAGTCAACTGCAGCAGCTCCATTTCCATCGTAGGTCAAGCAGGCAATGCCTCTCAGCTGCTGCCATGATCCTGGCATTCTCAGTTATCAGGCCTCCCAGCACTGGCTGGCCTGTGCCAGAAGCCCTAGTGCAGTTTTGAAAAGTGTGCATTAACTCCATTTTGAAACTGCCCTAGGGCTTGTTTCATGTGCAGAGATTGTGGTTGCTGAAAATTCTACTCAGTTGTTCTCAAGCATGATAATGTGTTTCCCTTTGCAAAGGCAAACTGTCCTCCACTAAACATTCTGATGTTCAGGAGCTGAATCCACTGAAATCACCTGCAGTCTGCTCTGCTTAAGAGCACATAGGTACACAAAGGCATCAGCACATGCACACACAACCTCCTTTGTTCTTCCTTCCCTCTCTTCTTCCTTCTCTTTGCTCTCTTACTTTCGCTCTCTTTCTCTTCATTTTTCTTACTTCACTTCTCTCTTCGTCTCTGTCATTCCTGCCTTTTCATTTTCTTCCTGGAATTATGCCCCTGTAGTGAAAAAGGGTGCACCTTTAACAGTACACAGAAATCCAGGTGAATTGGGCATACAGGACAAGAACAGTTTTCTCTTGCACCCCCAAGCTTGTTATGTTTCCTTTGTGTATGCTGAAAAGCGTTGCCTTTTTCTCACTGCCTAGAGAGAGTCATTCATGAATTTTCAAGAGTATCTTCCTGCTCAATAGTGAACTTCCTGCTCAGCTGTTTCTAAGTGGGTTGAGCAGGGGAAAGGAGGGAGATTGCCAGAAGGGGATTTAAACACAACAATAATAATAATAATCAGGAAAGGAGTTTGACTGCTTAGAAAACTGGTGCTGGATGTTTGAGAGGCAGTCATAAGTATAATTCAAAGAAGAAGTTGGAAAATCTTTAGAGACATGGGATTAGATATAATAGAAATCATCTTGTGTATTCGAAACCCAATTTAAGAAGCATCTGTTTTAGAAAACAGTATTTCAGTCTACCCCCTTTTCTGTATGATAATCATATTCTCTCTCTCCCTCTCTCTCCTAATCTCTTTCGGCCAATTTTCACTTTATGAGTATGGAAACAACAGGAGGTTTTATGCTAGCAGAAACTATGGTTTCTCTGCCTTTATGTTATAAACAGGTAATTTGAAAATAAATATTATCAGATAAAGTGCTGGGACACTTTCTTCCAGTTCTGCATTTGAACAGTTCTGGAGTTGTTAGCATTTGCGAAAATCAAGTTTCAGTAGGAAATACAAAGCCTTGGCCAGAGAGGCCATGCCACGAAAGAAAGTGGCTGCACAAGCCATTATTCCTGTCAGGTTTTCTCAAGAGCCCCAAACAGGTTCCACCAAAGCAAAATGAAGCTGTGCTAGAGAACTATGTTGGCAAGCATTTCTCAATGTTTAGTATTACATCTCCCATAATTTTACTGTTAGCCATGGGTCCCTTTTAGTTAGTTGGTTAGTTAGTTAGTTAGTTAGTTAGTTAGTTAGTTAGTTAGTTAGTTAGTTAGTTAGTTAGTTAGTTAGTTAGTTAGTTAGTTAGGTAGGTAGGTAGGTAGTTAGTTAGTTAGTTAGTTAGTTAGTTAGTTAGTTAGTTAGTTAGTTAGTTAGTTAGTTAGTTAGTTAGTTAGTTAGTTAGTTAGTTAGTTAGTTAGTTAGTTAGTTAGTTAGTTAGTTAGTGATAGATAGATAGATAGATAGATAGATAGATAGATAGATAGATAGATAGATAGCCAAAGCACAATGATAGCAGGAGATAGGAGAAAGTTGAGACATACCATTAGGACAAGTTAATGGCCGTGCCCTTTGCTATAATGAGTGCCCTCTCACTGGGGTGGCATGGGGCAAAGTGTTCTTTGCATAATTATGTTGTAAACTTCCCAGAGAGTGCTCCAGGCACTGTGGGGTGGCATATAGGTTGTTTGGTTGAACTAGTGAACGAATGAACAAACAAACAAACAGCTTCTTCCATTCTCAACTTCAAGTTGGTTGGTTGGTGGAACTAATGAACGAATTAACAAACAAACAAACAGCTTCTTCCATTCTCAACTTCACCGCTCACAGTATTTAATTAATAAATTTTATTAGATTTGTATACCGTCCATCTAAAACTTGTCTACTCTGGATGGTTTACATATAACATAAAAATAA